ATATATGTAGGCAAATGACAGACTTAAAGCCCACGATGAACAATACCCTTCGGAAAACACAGCAAGCGATCCTGGTAGGAAAAACACATTACAGATAGGGGCAATATAATAATAAAAGTTGAGTGGTTCTCACAGGCATTTATCCTACCTTTCTTTAATGCTGTCCGTACTCCAGAGTTTAGATACTCTTGATTTACACCTATATCAGAAGGTGTCTGGTACAGTGTACTCAGTAGAACAATGAAGTACACTAGCCAACTCAGTTTAGATTATATTAATGATATATATATAATAATATATATAATAGCTACTATATATACATATATATATATCTCAAAGTCAAAAGTCTCAAAGTCATATATATGTGTCTTCATACAGTACCTGATAGAACCAGGGCCACTTTGCAAGTAACTAATGCCCTGGTAGTGTTCCCAGCGCCCAGAGCATTCCCAACACGCACACAGGCAGCTGCATGGACACCTAAAGGGAACTGCAAGGACCACATATTACTCTTTGGTGTGAGTTACAACAACTGACTTAAAGGAATAGTTTGGGAAGTATGCTTATTCACTTTCTTTCTGAGAGATTGATAAAAATGGCTGTGTGTGAAATGCTCTCCAAAATTCTAAATGATCTTCTCATTCAAAGTGAATAATCACATTTTCTAAAATGCTGAATTTTTAAATAATGTACAAAAATGTTCATTCCAAGGATGATCTATACCATGTATGTTATGGTTCCTATTTCCACCAACACGTGCTGGGCAGCAAGATCCACCTCGCCAAGTACACCTGATATGGTAAAGGTCAGATTCAGACACATCCAAAGACTTTCACACCATGCCTAAAAGCTACATCAAGAAACTTTGCATGAATACAAATACAGTCAGAAAACTGCGCGCAGTATGCTGCTTGTTTTATTATTGAGACAGGTCAAATGTCAGTTTTAACAGATATAGGTACACAGGTATATTTTAATCGCTAACTGCAGCTGGAGATGAGTCTACATCCAATACCAAAATTATATTTGGCCAAATAAGGTGTCTGTTGCAGCGATTTTCATTACGGCTAAAAAGAAAATGATTGTTTGTCTCTTTACCTTGGTTTAAGTGGTTTGGTTTATTCAAAATTGGAGACTTTTGTGTTAATCTCTTTAGTTAGTGTGTGTGTGTGTGTGTGTGTGTGTGGTTTTCAACACTAACCTGCAAGAAAACCTCCAATCTCCCAGATCCACCACTCAAAGTAGACCATGACAGCACTGGGAATAGCCAGCTTCATATAGGAGCCCCACTCCTGCAGACAGTCAGTGGACCAACCTGCAGAAAGTTTCACACAGAAGACTTACGTGAGGACTATACTCAGTATGGCCTGTAGAGGACGACAGTTTTTCAGAAATGCCGATTTGGTCATTTAGTGTTTGATATTCACATTTTCTGTGTAGAACTCACCTTCCCATGTCTGCTGGTGGAGCTTCTTCCATCTTATGTAGCCAAACAACAGCAGACAGATAGTGATCTGAGACAGGCTGTTAGCGATTGCTGATCCACTGCAGACACACATGACAGAACAGCTTTTTATATTGGAGGGATGTGCAGTGACGGTCTATTAACTGTGACTCCATCTCTCTCTCTAGCCAAAGATGGGAAACAACTACACATTAAAGGGTCAAACGTGATCAGCTTTAAGTTATATTGTGGTTTAAGTACAATGGATGTCTAAGTGTCTGAGAATAAGGAGCAAGCAGGAGTCCATGTTTGATATGGGAGGGGAGGGACAGACCTGACCTGACCACAGAGACCCGTTGGGTAAAGTCGACTGCCTGTTGAATCAAATGTTTGTCCAGCTGGACCAGGATCAACTGTTCTTCGTTTCTCTGCCCCTAACACTGCCTCTCTCTTTAAATAAAGTACAAAAATAATAAACATTCAGTGTACTGTGACTCAACAAAAACAAAATGTACAATGAGTTTTCTGATGTCCTGTCCTCTTCTTTCCAAACTCTTATCTATACATCAGCACCCAGCCCTATCCTATTTGGACAATGCATTTTATTGGTCATGGAACGTGAAGTTTGATGCCATATCAAGCAAAGCAAAGTGCATCAAAAATTGAAGGAAAAGAGCAGCAGCGTGACACTTACACAACACCCAACTCAAGGCTGAAGATTAAGACATAGTTGGCCGCCAAGTTAATAAGGTTTGCTGCTGCTGCTGTGTACATCTGAGGCAGAATGATCCCCTGACAGACAAAAACAAATGGCATCCTTAATCAGCTATCCAGTCTGTAGAGCTATTATTCAAACTGCACCAATATTATTTGGACATGGTCTAGACAAACAAAACACATTCAGGAAAAAGACAACACAGAGGAGAGTTGTGTAACTGTAACTCAATCTGTGTGTGTGTAATCAGATTTGTGAATGTGTACAGGAATCTGCAAATGTGTGATCAAAATCTGTGTGTGCGTAATTCGATTTTTCCACATATTTTCATATCTACAAATCTCAATACATTTGCTAATCTGAATACAGATTTGTAGATTATTTTGCACATTTACAAATCTGATTACACACACATGGATTGGGATACAGTTACACACAACTCTCCATGCACATTTGTAAATTATTTTGCTACAATAATAGCCCCATACAGAGCCACTGAAATTCAGTGCTTACAAACTTACTTGGTTTTGTAGGTAGGAAACTTGCAGCTGGTGCAGGAACATAGCCTGTAGTAGGGAGAGGCAAAGTGGATTTTCTTACTCTAAAAACTCAACTTGATTATCTCACATTGACATGGTAGGCCTCATTTAAGTAAACACTGTGTCATTTATACACTTTAGTTGCACCATTTGTCTGCTATTATTTTGTATTTCTGCATTTAGTTTGTAGTTAAATATATTTCCTGTTGGCTACGTCAAACCCTTCAAGCTTCACTGTAACCACTTAAACAGAAATAATCAGTTTATTCATAGTGATCAGGTTATTGTATAAATAAACATGCTGCATGCCTTGAAGAAAAGGCCAGAGAGTACTATATTTTGTTATTTAACTGACCAATACTGGAGCACACATCCACTCTTTTGATTTGCTAAAAGACTCGTTGCTTTCAGCCAAAGAAACAAACTTGTTTTGTTGCCTCATTGCTTCCTATTATGGGACACCAAAACTTGATTTGCATTTTGCACTTAGTTTTATACACAGCCCATGTTCTAGTGTGCTTACTCTGTAGCTCAAGTAACTGCAGAGTATTGCATGATACAGCATTAATTAGGCAGTGAACATTTTAGTCCCCTGGGAGACCACACTATATTTTTTCTGGCTCTGGGTGTTTCAGTTCAGTGCACTCACTGGAACAGCTGGTAGAAACGCCATCACGTAGAGGTGGGCAATTCTGAAGGGGAGGTAAACAAAGTAATATTAATTTAGTAGAGCAAACACAGACAATAATTCATTTTCTGCTCAGATATGCACCTATTTTTGCAAGTCTATATATGCTGCATTAAAACTGCGTGTTTGCTCACATTAAATTTCTGCTTCCTCAAAATAAATAAATAGAATGAGGAATCTAACTATAATATGCTTCATATAGATGCTATCACGTTTCTAAAACATATTAGATAGGTTTAAGTATAGGCAGACTTAAATGCATTTTGTAGGTTTACACAAATACCTAAGTAAATGTACATACAAAGCTGAACTCAAGCACACCCTCATAAAATGCCACTATACACACTGACCTGGAGTATGATAATACAAAGATAATATACATCAATCAGCCATAACATTATGACAGGAGAAGCGAATAACACTGATTATCTGGTTTTCATGGCACCTGTCAGTGGGCGGGATATATTAGACAGCAAGTGAACATTTTGCTCTCAAAATTGATGTGTTAGAAGCAAGAAACATGGGCAGTGTGAGGATTTGAGCGACTTTGACAATCGACATCACAAATTGTGATGGCTAGACGACTGGGTGAGAGCATCTCCAGAACTGCAGCTCTTGTGGGGTGCAGTGGTCAGTACCTATCAAAACTGGTAAACCGGCAACAGGGTCATGGCTCAAAGGCTTATTGATGCTATCTGTATTGTCAAATTATCTGCTCTTGTGTGGTCCGACAAATATGACAAGCTACTGTGAGCTCTGCTGCTGAAAAATGTTAAATGCTCGGGTTCTGATAGAAAGTGTCAGAACACACAGTGCATAGCAGTTTGTGTGCGGTATGGGGCTTCTAACAATATGACCGCACCAGGGTGCCCCAGATGGTCATACGTGTTAATGGCTGATCGGTGTAGATGTTTTTTTCCCTTAAACAACCGATGAACAGTTTGTTTTAAACGGAGCATTAACTTTGTGTACACACTGACACATATATGCAGAACACAGACATATATATCCATTTGATTTACTAGAATTTACCTCGCCACCTCATCCTCTTGTTGCAAGATGAGCAGTAAGTTGTAA